GGAAAACAGATATTTACTCTGAAACAGTTTGAATCTGTAACGTTAATGAAAAGATTTTCATTTGCTAACTTAATATACTTGTATAAAAATCCTTTCTCTAGTCAAGACTAAAACCCTTAAAAAAACTATTACAAAAATATGTGAAAGCTGTACTTTGCCTCAATTCGTAGTTCAACAAATTTTGTATACTTGGTTAGTTAAAACAGAATAAAAGGTTAACGTCAAATTCAAAATAGTATACGATCTCATGAGGCTACAAGATTTATCACTCCATCCTTTGCCCCATGAAGATTCAACTGATTACACGGTAAGATCGTCAACATTAACGTAGAGTCGATCATCGTAATTGTCCAAGTTTATGAGCTCCTGATAAAGAAAGGAAAAAAGCAGTAATGAATTTAAAGTACTGTACAGATGCTCTGTTAAGCTTGCAATAGAGCATCTTTTTTAAATTGCTTTTAATCCACGTAAAAAGCATGTTGATGGTGGAATTATATTTGAAACTTATCAAAATAAAGAGAAAAATAAAATGTTTGAGGCCTGCATACTGACGCCATCGTCAAGTGCATTTTAAAGCGGTATATTGAAAAATTCAATTTTAATTGAAAGAGGTAAGGAATATTAAAGTGTGCCTGTTGACGAATTCAACTGAACGTTCAGAGGAGCTCACTATTACTATCCGAAAACGTGTTCGAATTTACTTCGGATTTCGCTAATGGATTCAGAGAATTTCATGAAATGCACAATGAATTCCCTTTCCGTGTCTTCAGATCAGGCTTTAGAACTTGTGCAAAGTCAATGGGTGGAATTCCGATGTGTCATTTTTACCTTAGAATTTACTAAAAATAGCTTCGAAGCTCCGGTAACTTGAGATCATTGATGTTCCACATGCATGTTCATCTTTGTGCGTGCGAGATCAAACTTTGAAAAATCAAAGATAAAAAAGCCTTATTGTAATCTCCACAATTCTACCTTGTGCTGGTTTTCCATTTCTTTCAGTTTCTTCTTCAAATTCTCAAAAGATGGTCTCAGGGAAGGGTCATCTTTCCAACAGTTTGTCATTATGTCATACCTAAAACGCAAATACGTCAAGAATATCTCAGCACATTATTATAGAGACATCACGTACGGCGTCATTAAGCTCAAAATGTTGCGATTTTTCTAAATGTATGGTAGCAGGGTTTGGTTCTTGTCTCACTAATTACAAGAGACCAACTCGAGTTTATTGACTCATTCCAATATTTCCCGAAGGTAGGCTGACTCAACATGTAAGGCGAGTTTAATTTGGCTCGAAAAAGAAAAACTTAAAACCCTCAATACAAAACAAAATTACTATAAGAGAAAAGGCGTCTTAAGAAAAAAAAGACAACAACAACAACAATAAGAACAACGCAATTGTTTCATACAACTTATCATCCACGTGCTGAGGTTTAGGCATTCTGTATCCCTCTTCTAGCGACGTTAAAATTTGTCTTACATCCATCTTTGGATATGGTGAGCCACCTGAAATGAACTTAGAAGCTACTCTTGAGACACTCCAACAACTTTATGACTCTATACTTACAAAGTTTGAAAATATGATTTTCACTATAATTCCTGCCCTATTGCCCTTTGTTTCCCAGCTGAGCCTGCCGACTTCTTGACTTGTTAACAGAAGTCTTGAAGCTAAAATTAATGGCCTGTCCATCAGCCTTGCAACTTACCAATCGTAAAAATCTCATAGAGGAGAACTCCGTAGCTCCACCTGTAAAACAAACGGGAATTAATCGTTCTTGTCTGTGAAAAAAAAAAAAA